TACCGAAACACGGTAGATATGCATTCTATATTACACAGCCAGAGAATGGTAGATATGAATTCTATGTTACCGAAACACGGTAGATATGCATTCTATATTACACAGCCAGAGAATGGTAGATATGAATTCTATGTTACCGAAACACGGTAGATATGCATTCTATATTACACAGCCAGAGAATGGTAGATATGAATTCTATGTTACCGAAACACGGTAGATATGCATTCTATATTACACAGCCAGAGAATGGTAGATATGAATTCTATGTTACCGAAACATGGTAGATATGCATTCTATATTACACAGCCAAAGAATGGTAGATATGAATTCTATGTTACCGAAACATGGTAGATATGCATTCTATATGACACAGCCAAAGTATGGTAGATATGAATTCTATGTTACCGAAACATGGTAGATATGCTTTCAATATTACACAGCCAAAGAATGGTAGATATGAATTCTATGTTACCGGAACATGGTAGATATGCTTTCTATATTACACAGCCAAAGAACGGTAAATATGAATTCTATGTTACCGAAACATGGTAGATATGCTTTCTATATTACACAGCCAAAGAACGGTAAATATGAATTCTCTATTATGCATTCGAAGAAAGGTACATATGAATTCTATAAAATGCTTCTGAAGAATGGTACATATGAATTCTATAAAATGCTTCTGAAGAATGATAGATATGAATTTTATATTATGTTACCAAAAAATGGTAGATATGAATTCTATAAACTGCTACTGAAGAACATCTCAGCTATGAATTCTATATTATGCTACAGTAAAGTGGTAGATATGAATTCAATATTCTGCTGATGTGGTCTTCCGGAGAATGACCTGGAGGAAGCAGGTGCCCCTTGAGGACAACATCAGGTGGCTGACCACAGGTCACTCAAGGCACTGAACTAACACAATTAAGTCCTGCCCAGACCTACTTTCAAGGCCCTCCTAACCATTTGAATATAAAGAAGCATTATCAAAATTGTTGTAAGAAATATCCTGTTTAAAGCTACCAAGTGCAAAAGAATAGTTTAATTGCGATATAAATGAAGAAACTTATATTATCATCACAGCAGCGGTTTGCAGAAGAATCACCGCACATTCGGTCATATCTGTTAAATTCTGCATTTCACCAAAACATGGCTGACAGTAGCGGAGAAGAGAAACAGGAAGTGTTTTAATCAATGCTTGTTTTCAGTGAATGTAATTCTTATTAAGAAGTTTATGCGCATTGAACGTATTCCCCTTTGATACAGATTATTCAATTTATTTATTTTGCATGCATTATTGATGTTCTTTGATGGGAGTCGACTGGAAACATTATACCATTATCAGATCCTGATGTGACTGTTTTGGCTGCAACACAGTTGCCAAGATTGCTGGGATCTGGTGGACATCTTCAGCGTGTTCGGAGACCATACCTGACTACTGTCCATTTATTTGCAATAACTGATACAAGAAGACACGTCTCCCACATCAGATAACAAATTCTGATGCATATGAATACTGGTTGCTGAATGCCATGCATTTTATGCTTAATAAGAAAAGATTTCGAGTCAGACTAAACAAAAGAAAATTTCTTTGCTTGTCACTTATTTATTTATCGCTGTCATTTCTCGTACAGTTTTCCCGGAAAAGGTGTTGTCAATTAGCTACAATCGGCTTTTGACAGACACAGCCAACCCTATTCCACTCCGTTTGACCAAGTTTCCCATAGCAGCAGTGCATGAATACCTTTACCAACCGCTGTCAAAACCGATAGTGTTTCCTTTCGTTGGAATATTAAATGCATTCGGTTCCAGTAGCTATGCTACCAGTACACTTTCATTATAAACCTATTCAACACTTCTTATTCAAATAGAAAGGAGGGCCTGACCTTAGTCCAACCCGTAATGGTCAGTACCTTTCTAAATAAAGTAAAGAGTGAGTGAGTGAGTTGGGTTTAATGCCGCTTTTAACAGTATTCCAGTTATATCATGGCTTGTCAGCTAAATGTGGTGTGGGAGGAAAGCCCGAAGTGATGCAAGTCTCAGACGTTTACCACTTCGGTGAAACCCACGAGCACAGATATGGTGCTGACAAACCTAGAAACATAATCGGGGTGAACCAGAATTCGAACCCACAATCATAGGTTTCTGGCGTGGCCAAGGAATGCATCTCTGCACAGTGAATCGCAGCGCCTTAGATGACTGGGCCACCCATGCCCCCAATACAGTAATGAATCCATGCATGGTCTCATGTTTGATTAAACACTTCTGTGTTGACGAACAAATATAAAGATGAGTCCTTTAAATTATATGTACAAATAAGTAGGTTTCCAAGTTAAATACACAAAATGCATTATGGAAATTAGTATAATCAAAGCAGAATCAGGAATATAATGTAACTGTAATTTCATAAATTTGTTTCACTCGCATGAAACTTTAAAGCATGATATCCCCTGTATCACTTGACCCAAGACACAAATCTTGCTTATCACTGGGTATTTAAGTCTTTTATATATATATATAGATGATTTATGTTTCAATTCAGTTTTGTAACCCGAGCCTATGTAAATATAAAACATCGTAGCTACAGAATAACCAGTCTTAATTTCCCAAGAAACAGATTCCAGTGAAAAATATACGAATGGATCATTGAAAATCAGAGACGACACCAGGCATTTACACAAACCTAAAAACCATTGCACTAATGTAGAAATGACTATGAACAAGTAGCAGCCATTGTGTTGGCACTGCTCTTCTGCAGTGTCTGTGATTTAACACCCATCGAACAGTCAGCGATGCAGATGGCAGCAGATTGATAGTATTGACCAATGTGCTCATCTGAACACAAGATCAGACAAACCACATGATTCCAGACATGTACAAGATCAGTTACAAGAATCTCAGAGTCAATATCTTCAGACTAAGACTACAAGAAAAGATGTCATTATTTACTGCTCAAAACAAGTACTGGAATCAGCCTTGCATTAACCATGTAATACAAGACTGCATAATTCTTGTTTGAAGTGCCAAGTCATTGATTGGCTAATGAACCAATAGAGTAAAAAAGGCTAGGTCAGTGAGAAGCACTTCCAGGAACTAAACCATTATGGCACCAATGTCCTGCCGAGTGATGTGGTAACAGGAATCTTTGGCCTGATAATGTTGGAAGATGATAGGTAACTGGTGATAACGATGAATCAATGAGTAAAGAAGTCATCCCCTGTCAGTAACGATGCTTTATCATTGCCAAATCATTGATGTTTCGATTTATCATTCCCTACCATCAACTACAATTACCAAGCCAATACACAACAAGAGAAAGACAACTGAACATGATGAGGAAGGCTTACTGGTAAAGGGGCCACCTGGTCGGTATTGACTTAAGAGTGGAAACATAATAGAAATTGTAGCGGGATCAAGAGGGGTATAAAACCTAACGAGGTATGCATAAAACCCCATGTATCCCTTGTGATCCTGTAATAATGAATTTATCTTACCGACATGTTTTAATGTGACATTGTAAATAAATTAACACAAATTCAAAATTGATAGAGAACAGCTGTTCGATATAGCTGAGGAAAAGCGTGCAGCTTTTCACATTGAAGCAGGGTATAAGGGATTTATTCTGCCTCTCAGAAATCCACGTGCAGACTGCATTGCTCGTGGCGGGGTGTGAGAGATTTATTGCCCCGCTGAGAAATTTATTACCTTCCGAGGCGGGTTACACAGTATTTTATCAAGATCACGTGGACCAATCAGATCTCATCTCAGACATGGAGGTATGATAATCTACAATGTCATCCCTCCAATATAACAAAACAAAATGAACGGAATCAAGCTTTAAAACAGACAATATCAAGTAATTGTTTTCTCTCATATAGCACACAAACATTAATCATTCAATTAATGATTCTCCTTAACGGTGTTCGACCATGTGGTCCCTTTGCTGGTAGCCTTCGCTGTATTATTGTCATGTTGCGACCATACATGTTTCTACTATATATATCTTGAAGCTGAAAACATGGAGCAGTGAAAATGGTTTGAAAGTCTTGTCGATCCTCCTGCCACTGTAGTGTCAGCAAGCTCTCTCCAACAAACCACCAAGGGTTTTTTCTGTGCCATATACTCCAAAAACAAACATGCAATGTCAAATGTGCAAACTGTGAAGGCTCTAAGAAACTACAAAAAGTTTGGCAATGATTTCCCAGAAGAAAACATATGACATGTATGCAAACAAGGTTATGATGTTTCAGATCAATGGTTGAGTGGTTGAGTGGTTGAGTGGTTGAGTGAGTGAGTGAGTGAGTGAGTGAGTGAGTGAGTGGGCATTTCAGTGAATGATTGAGTGTGTGGGTGTTTTAGTGAGTGGTGAGTGAGTGAGTGAGGTCAGGTCACTACGCTGAGCTCTGTAATTGGTGAGTGTGTGAATGGGTGTTTGAGTGAGTGAGTGAGTGAGTGAGTGAGTGAGTGTGGTGAGTGAGTGTGGTGAGTGAGTGAGTGAGTGAGTGAGTGAGTGAGTGAGTGAGTGAGGTGAGTGAGTGAGTGAGTGAGTGAGTGAGTGAGTGAGTGAGTGAGTGAGTGAGTGAGTGAGTGAGGTCTGAGGCATTATTTATCATTATCATTCCATCCACACTTAACATTTTTCTATCGGGTTCCTCTCATCTAACTATAATATTTCCCCTCTCACCTCTCAATACCTTATAACAACAAGGTTCAGCATCTTCAGTACTTGCAACCTTCAACACTGACACAAATCCCTGACAACTGGAATCTGTCAGTTTATTGTTTAAAGGACACTCTAGAGATTCCACAGATTCACAAATTTGTTAAATGTCACCTCTAAGTGGAACTGAATATTTTCTCCTTCAAAATGGCAAAAGTAAAACAGTTCTCAAAGACATATCAACCAACATGATTCATGCAGGCAACTGGTAATATTTAATAAGTAAAATATCCCTTGAGAAATAAAACATGAACAGAAGGCATGAATTTTTGCTTACCTCTTGAGGGGGGACGTCAAATGATATTGTTCTTAAATCCACTTTGGTGTACTGTTCTATGCATGGCAGTACAAAAAATATTCCTGCAAGCAAAAAATACACATGTCGTTAAATATAATTATGTCTGATTTATAAACTTTAAAAAACTGATTTTCATTTTAGCTGACATTGAGTGCCATAACAGTGTGTTTGCAAATGACACTTTCAGTGGTATTTCATTTCTATCACGTGTCAGCTTCAGTTAGACAAGCCAAAAGTGAAGTAGGTAATTTGTACACATCTAACACTAAGGTGAAACTGACATTATTGGTAAGACCTTGATAGACGGAGAATTAGAGTGAGTGAGTATGGTTTTATGCTGTACATGTATTTGCAATATTCAAGTAATATCACGGCGGGGGACACCAGAAATGGGTTTTACACATTGTACCAATGTGGGGAATCGAACCCAGGGCTCTGGTGTGACGTGTAAGCACCTTAACCACTGGACTACCTTACAGCCCCCAGAGAATTAGAAGCAAGGCAAATCTCTGATTTCAACCTATGACCAGAGCATCCTTGCACTGAAAAGGCATATAACTCTGCACAGCCAATCAAGCAATAAATGAATGTTCTAATAGTTTCATTGGTTGATAGGCATTACTGAGAAGGTGACGGATGACAAGATAGACACAATTTCATGGATAACAACTTCTTTAATACCGTAAAAAGCGACGTTTCGATATAGATCCTTATACCGTTGTCTTGCTTGTCTATCTTGTAATAGTTTCATGATAAATATTGTCAAAGTTATTTGCAGTTATTATGACTTTAAAAAAAAATCCAAAATCAAAGGGAAGAAATGAATTTAACTCACAAGATTACCATTTTCACAGGTTTGTTTTTTCCCATTTTCACACTTGATGGCATTCCAACTTGTCAAGTGTTGTGTTTTTTATTGCATCCCACTTATGACCCAAGGAAATTCATGTATATTTGTTTTTCAATGATTTGTTTTCAACCTTTGATACAAGTCCCTTAACCCGAGGGCTAAATGAAACATAAAATAATTTTCCCTATTAATAAAAACAAACATTGTCCTATCATCCAAAACCTGTCCTGCAGGAACACACTTGAAAACATTTCATTCTGATTGAAGGCAAAATGAATGTCTGATCCTGATCCTGGGATGATGCCACTTGACCCTAAATAACTGTCCATTGCCAGCAGCAATTACTCAAAACATTTTCGCTCCAACTAATATTTGTAATTTTTTCACTAAGGAGGGTATTTTCTCAAGATCAATATAAAACATCATTTTGATACATTTTAAATATTGTATATTTTTACCATTCCAAAAACAAGAGGGGTGCCGTGATTCGCTGTGTAGAGCTGCGTCCCTTGGGCACGCCAGAAACCTATGATTGTGGGTTCAAATCCTGGTTCGCCCCGATTGTTTCTAGGTTTGTCAGCATCATACCCGTGCTCGTGGGTTTCACTGAAGCGCTAATCATCTGAGACCTGCATCACTTCAGGCTTTCCTCCCACATTATTTTGACACGCCATGATATAACTGGAATACTGTTAAAAGTGCCGCAAACCCAACTCACTCACTCACTCCAAAAACAAGCACTTTCAATTTGACACAGATGTCTGTCAGGCTTGACAGTTCCCATCCACATACCAAAGTTTCTTCTAATAATGTCCAATTCTAAAGTCAGGACATATATTTTTATAAAAGATCACTTTCACTCACTAACTAGACACTCAGGTATACAGCTACCCACCCAACCAACCAAACTCATCCACCCATCCACCCATCTACTCACTCACTCACTCACTACACACTCATGTATACAGCTACCCACCCAACCAACTAATCTCATCCACCCATCTGCTCACTCACTCACTCACTACACACTCACGTATACAGCCACCCATCCACCCAACCAACTAATCTCATCCACCCATCTGCCCACTCACACACTCACTACACACTCACGTATACAGCCACCCATCCACCCAACCAACCAAACTCATCCACCCATCCACCCATCTACTCACTCACTCACTACACACTCATGTATACAGCTACCCACCCAACCAACTAATCTCATCCACCCATCTGCTCACTCACTCACTCACTACACACTCACGTATACAGCCACCCATCCACCCAACCAACAAAACTCATCCACCCATCTGCCCACTCACACACTCACTCACTAACTAACTACACACTCAGGTATACAGCCACCCACCCAACCAACCAACCAAACTCATCCACCCATCTGCTCACTCACACACTCACTCACTAACTACACACTCAGGTATACAGCCACCCACCCAACCAACCAACCAAACTCATCCACCCATCCGCCATTTGCTCACACACTAACTACACACTCAGGTATACAGCCACCCATCCAACCAAACTCATCCACCCATCCACTTATCTGCTCACTCACTCACTCACTACACACTCATGTATACAGCTACCCACCCAACCAACTAAACTCATCCACCCATCTGCTCATTCATTCACTCACTACACACTCACATATACAGCCACCCACCCACCCACCCACCCACCCATCTGCTCACTCACTCACTCACACACTCAGGTATACAGCCACCCACCCAACCAACCAAACTCATCTACCCATCCGCCCATCTGCTCACTCACTCAATCACTAACTACACACTCAGGTATACAGCCACCCACCCATCCAACCAAACTCATCCACTCATCCACCCATCTGCTCAATTGCTCAATCACTAACTAGGGGACCGTCTCTGTGGTCTAGTGGTAGAGCGTCTACCTGGAGAGCGGAAGGTCGGTGGTTTAAAACCCTGGCCGCAGCTTACCCAAAGACGCTAAAAGATGTTACTTGTTGTTAACCTTTCTGGCTCTTGGTATAAAGGGGATAAAACAAGGACTGGGCCTTCTGTGTAATAAGCGAATGTTTAAGCAACTAGGCCATGCAACCACCACCACCCATCAGTTCAGAGGGAGAAGCGTTAAGCAAGGACAAACGATAATTTTCATCCACTTTTGATAAAATGGAGGCAAGGATTCTCACTGTGATTTGGATACTTCTGTTATTCTTGTTGACACCTGGCCGAGGCAAATAACTGTATGTCTTGAAATAATTACCAAAGAAAATTTGGCTTAAATATATTGTGCAGTAGTTTACCTGGCCCCTTTGCCCCTCCAGACAACAGACGACCCAGTCGGAAAATCACAGCTCTTTCATACTCTTGGACAACCTGAAAGACATAAACCGATTATCAAAAACATATCAGGAACCTGGTACTTGGTGAGAGAATACCTACATGTATACATATATTGGTTGATGTCCTGTCATCGGACCCCAACAGTGGGGATCAGAGCTCATTTCATAGCTGAAATGGATAGAATTATCATTAAACCTCCTGCATGTTATTAGAAATGAGCAGGCCACTGTGATTTGATATTGCCTTCATATTGCTTGATGATATTGCCATTATCACGCCCGTTGTTAGGTGACGTCATATTGATGTTCAATAGTGACGTCATCTGGTTTGTTCAATGACATTTCCATATTTGCAAACGTGGGTCAGTGGCATTTGTTGTGTATTGATTGCAGTTAATGTTTAAAAACCTGTATTGTTGTTTATTTTTATTTGATAACAAATTCTATCCATTTTTATAAGCTATAATAACGTCTTTTGGTATGATGCGGCCGGGGATCGAACTCCGGACCTTCTGCTCTCCGGGCGGACGCTCTACCACAAGACCACGGAGGCGGTCGAGTGAGCGAGTGAATGAGTGAGTATGGTTTTACTCCGCTTTTAGCAATGTTCCAGCAATATCATGGCGGGGGACACCAGAAATGGGCTTCACACATTGTACCCATGTCAGGAATCGAACCCGGGTCCTCGCTTTAACCACTAGGCTCCCCGACCACCCCTTTTTCAGCATGGAGAAAGTGACCAAATATAGCATACAACAGTCAAATCAAAATGAATTCATGTACAAAAAATTATATATACCATATTTTCTTGAGTATAGTGCGCACCCATGTATAATGCGCACCCCCCTCTAGCGGGTTCAATATTTTGGAAAAAAAGAAATTTGAATATTATGCGCAGAAAAAATTTACACCGTACCCTTTCAGCGAAGTCCGGCAAAAGAACGGGTGCTGAGAAACTTCGTCAGTACAAATTCGAAATTTGAGATAAAAAATCACCAGACATGTTTATTTAACGTTTAAATAGTATTTATTGTTCTGCTAGGCATTGTTTTATATCTAGGGATTAAGATCACCTTGTGTATTTTCTCGTAAACTAAGCCGGAAACAGCAATCAGCTGTACACACGTTTTCTTGGAATCGACCGGTGATTCGGTCAAGACACACCCAATGATATAACTTTATAGGATTTTTAATGCAAGGATCGGCAACAATTGTATCTGAAACTATTTTTTTTATCAGGAATAATATATTCCATTATTTTCTTAATTATATGCAGCCTTTACTAAACATATTTAAAATAATGATAACCCTAAGCGAAGCAGCTGATCGCTATTGCCGGGTATTATTTTTTACATGGAACCAGTCTGACCTGTCACCGTCAAGGCTCACGCGCACGTGATCGCGTGATCGCGAGAATTTCATGTTGACATAGAATCGTCAAACAAAAACAAATATGACTTTTAACGAGTCAAAGTATGTCATTTATGATATATGTATCCATTCTCTGTCAACTAAAGTTCGTTTCAAGGCGTCAATAGCGGTAATCTGACCGTGGTTGCTGTTAATAACGGTGAGTTGTGCGATCTTCCGATCGCTTCACACACGATTTCGCCGAAATTAATAAAAACAATATTATGAGGAATTTTGAATAAAATTAATGAAATAAGTTACAAACATAAGTTCAGATATACAAAGAACACTTTTTATAGCCAGACAGTGTAATTACATGATTATTTTGCGTACTTTAGTATGGATTTGTTGACATGGTATTTCCGGTGTTTCGTGCTCACGGTAATGTCTTCCCATTGGGGAAAAAAACATCCAAACTCATAATTCGTGTATAATGCGCACCCCTTTCTACACAGCTGTGTTTTTTCGAAAATAAGTGCGCACTATACTCAAGAAAATACGGTATATATTATATCTATATAAACCAATATACAAACAATTTGTGGTGTAATGAAGGACTGCTTATATCACCATGTGCACCATCAGTGCCAACACAAGTGATCCTGTGAACCTTTGGTAGATCAAGATCAACCATTGCATATATCACCATGTGCACCGTCAGTGCCAACACAAGTGATCCTGTGAACCTTTGGTAGATCAAGATCAACCATTGCATATATCACCATGTGCACCATCAGTGCCAACACAAGTGGTCTTGTTAACCTTTGGTAGATCAAGATCAACCATTGCATATATCACCATGTACACCATCAGTGCCAACACAAGTGATCCTGTGAACCTTTGGTAGATCAAGATCAACCATTGCATATATCACCATGTACACCATCAGTGCCAACTCAAGTGGTCCTGTTAACCTTTGGAATATCAAGTAGAAGCATTGCTTATATCACCATGCGCACCATAAGTGCCAATATATGGGTTCTTGAGAACATTTGGTAGATCAAGTCCAAGCATTGCATGTATCACCATATACACACCATCAGTGCCAAAACATGCATTCCTCTGAACATTTGGTAGATCATGTAGAAGCATTGCATATATCACCATATACACCATGAGTGCCAAAACATGCATTCCTCTGAACATTTGGTAGATCATGTAGAAGCATTGCATATATCACCATATACACACCATCAGTGCCAAAACATGCTTTCCTCTGAACATTTGGTAGATCATGTAGAAGCATTGCATATATCACCATATACACCATCAGTGCCAAAACATGCTTTCCTCTGAACATTTGGTAGATCATGTAGAAGCACTGCTTATATCACCATATACACCATCAGTGCCAAAACATGCATTCTTCTGAACATTTGGTAGATCATGTAGAAGCATTGCATATATCACCATATACACACCATCAGTGCCAAAACATGCATTCCTCTATACATTTGGTAGATGACACTGAAGCAGTGGACTGAGAGTAATCGGTTCCTGTCAGCACCTGCAGCGCCATCAGTCCACCATAGAGTGGTTATGTTTAACACTGTTAATCAGGGTAAATCAAGACTCAAATCAACAACTGCTGCATCCTCACATGGCCAATTGTGTCACCTTAGATGACCAATGCCCTGTACTATGCCTAGTGCCTACAGTATGCTCTTGTTTATGGCACATTCATGATTCAACATGTCCATTGCAAGAGAATATATATGCTTTGTCTGAAAAGGGATTATGAAAAATACATATAATTTTTAGAATATCTTACATCAATATACTTCATCTGCGAAAGTTATACTAAAATGAACTCTATAAGTGGTAAGGTACCCTTCAGAAGTGAGTGAGTGAGTGAGTTGGGTTTTACTCCGCTTTTAGAAATATTCCAGCAATATCACAGGGGGAACACCAGAAATACCTTCATGCCCAACTGGGGCGGTCGGGTAGCCTAGTGGTTAAAGCGTTTGCTCGTCATGCCGAAATCCCGGGTTCGATTCCCGACATGGGTACAATGTGTGAAGCCCATTTCTGGTGTCCCCCGCCGTGATATTGCTGTAATAGTGCTAAAAGCGGCGTAAAACCATACTCACTCACTCACTCATGCCCAACTCTTCAGAAGATACAAATGCACTTGCCCCTTGTTACAGAAAGAATGGGCTAATACCATCGCTCAGATAATAGTGTCAGAACATACCTTGGGTATCCACATACTCAAGGAAAGTGTACAACCCAGTGACCCTACGAAGGGGAACACACATTCTCTCATCAAATTACACATCGTCCAAACATGAGGAGAGCTTACTACAAATCCCATTTTCTCCACACCTTGAGCAAAACTCCAATTATCTTTGGCCTCATAATGAGATTTTTTTCTCAATAGATTTTCAAACACTAAACGGATCATGCGTGCACGTCACTGTCGCAACCTTGATTAGTAGGGTAACAGATTCTCTAGGGTTGCCGTTATTTACGGGAGTTGCCACGATGTTAGCAGAATGGTAATTAGTTGAGCTTCTTGTAATTTATTAACATGTGTTCCTAGAAGTCACAGGGGGTTAAAGAAACTTATAGTGCCACAAGACAGTCACTAAGTGCCAAAAGAAAACCATACCACCACAAGACAATCATTACGCCACAAGACAATCATTATGCCACAAGACAATAGTTGCATTACAAGACATTCATTGCTCCACAAGACAATCACAGCGCCAAGTGGCAATCATTGCACCGCTGGTCAATCCTTGTACAAGACAATCATTTTTCCACATGACAATCATTGTGTAACAAGTCAATCATTATGTGATCAGTGATGACACTGGGTTTTCGCAAAATGAGTAAGTACCTCGAAGGTCACTTTCAAATTTTTGAAAACTTGTACCTTATGCACTTATGATGACTTTTGTGCCACAAACAACATGAAATGTATTACATAGCAGGAAGTTTTATTATATACAGATATTTATATAAACATTTACATAAACATTTGGCACAACATGGGGGCTGCCTCGGTTGCCTAAGAGACCCTGGGGTCGAAGTGACCCGGGTTGACACCCTGGGGTCGTGGAGACCCGGGTAAGATAACAACGTCCTGGGGTCTTATGGACCCGGACTGTGTAGCTGTGAGAGGGATATGCCGGTCCTGGGGTCCGATGACCCGGACGATCCCTAGAGTAAGCTAGTACTGGTCGTGCTGACCGGACAGTACCGAAATAGCGTAAGTTCTTTGGGGGCCACAAGCCTTCCATGCTCTGAGTATGGAGTGGCTTATGACGCCCGAGGCAGCCCCAGGAGATAAGGTATCTACGCAATATATATATATATATATATAGGTAGCCTGATAAACAGCCGTGGAATGGACGCCAATACGTGAGTACTAGCGAATGTACAAAGAACCACGTTCGTGATGCTCGTGAATACATTAGGCCATGAACGACAGGAGGAGCTAAGGGGTGGCTGGAGGGTAACGCAGTTGAGTGGCTTGCGACAATGTAGAAAGTAGCCTCGTGCGGGGCTGCAGGGTTAATAAAGGTAAACACTGTGACGTCATGTCCGTCTTACTGGGCATGCGCAGACTGTTTAGAAGTGCATTGTGGGATGTAATTACTGTAACATGATCCAGACGGC